AGTACTCTGTATATAATGATGATAAAGCATAAGTTTGTACTACCCCCGTCCCATTTATATTGGGACGGAAGAGAGTGTACAATTATTAAGAAAGTGAGTTTGTATGGTAGATATTAATTGATAAATTAATAATAAAATAAGAATGATTTAGAGCCACACAAACTTTGCCAAATATGGTATGAGACAATTTAAGTGGGACTTCCCAAAAAGGTAAAACAGGACAATATAAATGAGACGGAGGGAGTATATCGGTGTATCAGTTTTTGTACCACACTCATAGTGATGATTAAATTAAGTAAAGTTTAAGACTTAAAACTTAAAAGTATACTACGTAATAGCTTATAAATTGATAAAACCAATGGTACGATCTGTTGTGAGAAATGAAAATAGTTTTTTTTTTTTTAAAATAAGAAAATAAAAATAGCCGAATGAACTCGACATAGAACTATCATTGATAGTTGGAGACCAATGCTTTTCATTGATTGTAATGAAACGGTTAGCAACACAAGAGTGAGATGAATTGTGTGTGTGGAACCATGACAGTTTTTCGCCAAGTTCTAGTGTGGGGTATATGGTATTGCGAGAATATAAAGTGAACAAGGATTTAACGAGAAAAAATTCCTTGGCTCAAAGAGATTAAAAAATCTCGATCTCCCTCGGAGGAATTTTAACAACTTCACCATAAAGCCTTTTGTTGTTACAAGATAAACTCTCTTAGTCTACCCTTGAGCCACCTCAACTCTATCCTCTCAAGGAAGAGTTATGTTTCTCTACCTTGCAGGTAGAGAGCCTCTCAGCTTTACAACAAACCAACCCGAGGTGTCTACACTTAGCCAATCCTCAAAACTCAATTACAATATGAAGAAGGAAAAGAAACTATATCTAGAACTCATGTTCATCAGGTTTAGTTTGCTTAGACTTAGAAATTCTTTTGTTTATATCTCTCAATGATAGTTCAGTCAAGCACACCCTTATTTTTCTTGATCTCCGCATATATAAACTGTTTTGAGGCAGTCCGTTTTGGCCTCCTTGAATGATTGAGCTTCAATCTTGGAACTTGCCTAGTTATAATTTGAAAAATCTTGAATAACATTTTTCATATTTAGTGCGTATGCGACTATTGATTTTTAGTAAAGCAAATATGCTTCACTTAGGCACTACTCTTGATTTATGTAGGACGTGAATATATTGTGATTAATGGAGGATTTTTATTTCAAATATTCTTTTTACTTATAAAATATAGGCATACAACCCATTTAGAAAAAGTCGGAAACCTATTTAGAAAAAGTTGGAAATTAAGTTAAATAGTATTCTGTATCTCAATTTTAATGTCCCACAAATCATTATATTTTTCACATCAAATTTAATTCAATTGAAAATTGTTTAATTGATATATAGATTTTCTTAAAATATTTCTTGATATACAAAACCAATTAAGTTTTTATCTATTCAAGAAAAAGTACTCCGTATTTTATTTCTATAGATAAAGTATAAGTTTGTATATCGGTGTATCAGTTTGTGTACCACACAGTCCACACTCATAGGGATGATTAAATTAAGTAAAGTTTAGGACTTAAAACTTATAAGTATACTACTCTGTTGTGAGAAATGAGATAAGAAATTAGAAATAGCCGAATGAACTAGACATAGAACTATCATAGATAGACACAGTCAAAGTTTGTGTAATGCACATTGTCATTAAAACTAATTCACTGTCTCTCACGGTATTAGGAGTGTTCTAGCGCCATTTTCCTACAGTACGAAGACTAAATAACAACCGTACTAAACATGCCCAATGTTATATTTAAAATGTATGTCAAGTTTAAATGATCTTACATCTATCTAATAATAATAAAATAATTAATCTTATAAAGGTCGATGATGAAAAACTGCGGACGTCTCTAGGGTTGTCCCTAGCTTGATTTTACCGGCGGCGGAGGCTTTTCAGCCCATCTGTCCGGAGTCAGAGAGTTAGATTGGAGGGAGATTGCAGGCGGTGGTGCGGTTCGTCTTCGGCCATCATCTGCAGAATCAACAAGTCCGATCTCCGTGGATGGTTTTTTGGCTTTTTCGATCTTGAGAACTCTGCTTTTTGAGTTTTGCTCTGGAGTTTTCCTTCTGCTTCGAGACTGGGGTTTAGCGGGAGGGTTCAGGGAGATGAGTATACTCAGCTGGAACTGTAGGGGTCTAAACAACCCGGCAACGATCCAATGCCTGTCTGACCTCGTCAGTCTATATCGGCCGCTGATAGTCTTTCTCATGGAGACGAAGGTCCGGTGCTTGCGTGCAAAGGAGATACTACGCTCAAAGGGCTTCACCAATTCGGAGGGGACGGATAGTGCTGGCCGGAGTGGAGGGTTAATCATGGCATGGAATGATGAAGTTGAGATGGAGGTCAAGGATAACAATCCCAATTTTATTGACGGAAGAGTTGTTTTGCGGAGCAACGCTGATTCTTGGAGACTAACTGGCTTCTATGGCTTTCCTGAGACAGTCCGGCGTCGGGAGGCTTGGAGGATGATGGAGGGGCTGGCGGAAGGCAATGACGGTCCCTGGATGATGATTGGAGATTTTAACGACATCATGTTCGATTCGGAAAAGAAAGGTAATATTCCTCAACCTCTATGGAGGTTAAGGGGATTCCGAGGGGCAGTCAATAGTTGTGGGCTGCGGGATTTCCCTTTTTCAGGATATCAATGGACTTGGGATAATGGAAAAGATAATAATTACCGTCTGGAGCAGAAACTAGACCGTATTCTAGTAAATGATGCCTGGTGGGATTTATTTACAGGAGCTCAAGCTGTGTCAGTAGAGGCCCCGGCAAGTGATCATATGGCACTTCAGGTGCAGGTCAAACATAGGGTCCCAAATGGAAGGAGACGTTTCTTTAAGTTTGAGAACAACTGGATTAAAGAAGATGCTTGCAGAATTGTTGTTACTAGTAGTTGGGAAGCAACTAGGCAACGGCCAATTAATGAGAGGATTGGTTTTTGTGCTACGGAACTGACTAGATGGGACAGGGGGAGGAAAAGAGGCTTTCGACATCAAATAATGGCGTGCAAATCCAGATTGGCCTGGCTTAGGGGGAAGGATGACCGTACTAGTGTTCGTGAGCTTATACGTGTCCGTTCAGTATTACAGGTCTTACTTGAAAAAGAAAATCAATTCTGGAAGCAGAGGGCTAAGGAATTTTGGCTAAAGGAGGGGGACATTAATTCCCGATTTTTTCATAATGCTGTTAAACAAAGGAGGCGACGAAACAAGATGACTGGTTTGCGGCGGCCCGATGGTTCATGGCTGTCTAATCGGGAAGAACTTGGTGAGGCAGTCTTGGATTACTTTTCGATTTTGTTCAAAGAACAAGAGAGGACACAACCACTTGCTATTCGAGGCGAATTCCGACAGGTGTCGGCAGAACAGAACGAGTTACTCTTACGGGCTATCAGTCCGGAGGAGGTTAGGCGGGCTGTTTTTGATATGCACCCGGATAAGGCTCCAGGCTCAGATGGAATGAACCCCGCTTTTTTTCAGGCTTACTGGGAGGTGCTTGGACCGGATATATCTGCCTTATGTGCGTCGATGTTTGAGACAGGTAATCTGGCAGACCATGTTAATACTACTAATATTGTGTTAATTCCTAAAGTGGAGAAACCAGAAAATATGGGGGACTGGAGACCAATTGCACTTTGCAATGTGGTCTATAAAATTTTTTCTAAAATTCTGGCAAATAGACTCAAAGGCATATTGGATATTCTAGTCGGGGAATGTCAGAGTGCTTTTGTACCAGGAAGGTCTATTATCGATAATATAATTGTGGCTTTCGAGACAAATCATTTTCTGAGAAGGAAGACGAGTGGAAAAGAGGGCTTTGTGGCGCTCAAACTTGACATGAGTAAAGCGTATGACAGGGTGAGCTGGACCTTTCTTGAGAATATTTTAACCAAGATGGGTTTTAATGTTCGTTGGATTCAGATGGTTATGGAATGTGTTAAGACTGTTAAGTATTATGTCCAGTTTGATGGGGATTTATTGGGGCCTATTGTGCCAGGTCGAGGGCTGCGTCAAGGGGATCCTTTGTCTCCTTATTTGTTTATTCTAGTGGCGGAGGGGTTGAGTGCTCTTTTTAGTAGGGCTGAACGCAGGGGGGACCTACATGGGGTGGCGGTTTGTAGGGGGGCACCCAGGGTTTCTCATCTATTTTTTGCAGATGACAGTTTCTTGTTTTTCAAGGCATCCGGCCCAGAATGTGAGGTGGTTAAGCATATTTTGGCAGAGTATGAGGAGGCATCAGGGCAGGAGATCAATTTTCGAAAGTCCTCGGTCACGTTCAGCCAAAATGTGGCCGAGACTTTTAGAAATTATTGCTGCAACTTTTTTGGCGTTCCACAGGAAGGTAGTCAGCAAAAGTATCTGGGGCTACCAAGTCTGGTGGGGCGGAATAAAACGGCTATTTTGGGCTTCATTCGAGACCGGATTTTTCACCGGATTAAGAGCTGGAACAACCGATTCCTCTCCAGAGAAGGGAGGGCTGTGCTTTTAAGGAATGTGGTCCAGGCAATGCCCACATATGCTATGAATGTTTTTTTATTTCCTCTTGATTTATGTGATGAGATTGAAAAACTGATGAATGGTTTTTGGTGGAAGGGTACGAAATTTGAGCAGAGAGGGATCAGGTGGCGGAGATGGGAACTTCTCTGTAAACCAAAAAGCATGGGAGGTTTGGGTTTCAGAAAGATCAGGGAATTTAATTTAGCTATGCTCGCCAAACAAGGCTGGAGACTGATTACCAACCCAGATAGCTTGATGAGTCGGGTGCTTAAAGCTAGATATTACCCTAAAACCAATTTCCTGCGTGCAAATCTTGGGAACAATCCTTCTTATGTTTGGAGGAGTATCTTTGAATCTCAAAGCATCCTTAGAGAAAATGTCAGAAGACGGGCAGGCAATGGGAGAGATGTCCAGGTGTGGGGCGATGCTTGGCTACCAGGGCAGGGGGATGGAAAGATTAAATCTCCAAAACCTGTGGGGATAGATGATATGAACGTAGCGGCACTGAGGGATAATTCAGGGAAGAGCTGGAACAAAGAAAGGATAGCAAACATATTTACTGAAGAAGACCAGAGAGCTATTTGCAGTATCCCGATTAGCCTTACGGACAGAGAGGATGGTTTCTGGTGGAGTAAAGAGAACAATGGCCTCTTTACAGTGAAGAGTTGCTACAAAACATTTATGCAGAGCGAGGATCCAGGTGGCTGGGATGGGTGGAAATTTCTGTGGGACTTAAAAATCCCGCCAAAGGTAAAATATTTTATATGGCAGGTACTAGATGGATCCTTACCATCAGCGGACAACTTGGAGAGGAGGGGGGTACCTATCCCGAGGCAGTGCAAGATATGCGGCCAAGCTGATGAGTCTACGGAGCATGCACTGATGACATGTCCGAAGGCAGTGGAGGTATGGGAGGTGGCGGGGATGACACTCGGCGACGGGGAGGTGACATTTAAGGTATGGCTTCAACAATATCTTTCATGTGCAGATAAAAGTGTGAGCTCCAAAGTGGCGATGATCACATGGGGTTTGTGGAAGAGACGAAACACTCTGGTTTGGGAGAATGAGATGCAAGATTCGGCCAATCTACTGAATGGGTGTGCAAGTATGCTACAAGCTTGGCGAGAAGCTCAAGGAGAGATGAAAGTGGCAGGCAACAGGAGTGGGAAGGGGAATCCGGGGTGGAGCAAACCGAAGCCGGGCTTTTTAAAAATAAATGTCGACGCCGCAACAGATGTGAGTAGGGGGAGAAGAGCTTGGGGATGGGTGGTAAGGGATGAACAAGGCATTTTTATTAAAGGCGGGGGTGGATAAAAAACGGCTGACTGGAGCCCAGCGGAGGCTGAAGCTATGGGGTTAAGAGAGGCTTGTCAGGCAGCACTTCAGGAAGGCTGAGAGTACATCGAGCTGGAGTCTGATGCCCAGACAGTCATACGCGGCATTAAGGGAGGGGGGGGGGGGGGGTTCAGCATACATGGATCTTATTATTGATGATATACGGAATATTTTGAGTACTAAGAGCAACTTTCATGTCTCTTATTGTCCACGATCTGCGAATCGTGTTGCTCATAAGCTTGCTAGAGCACATGTTTCCATCTCAGATCATAGTTGTAGTTATGATATCAGGCCAGATTGTATTGTAAGCCATTTGGCGAACGATCTTTTGATTTAATAAAGAGGTTAGTCTCGGTTTCAAAAAAAAAAATATAATGGTCGATGAAGGTTAGGGTCTATTTGACATAAAAAATGTTGATGGAACTTTATAGCAATAGGTAATTGTACATTACATGTTACACTTTGTACTCTCCTATTATCTCATTTTTTTATCTCCCCTGTTAATGTATTCTATTTGAAAATTTCTTTATCAAAATAGCTCTTGGAATATTTTTAGTCCAAAAATAATTGTTAATACATTAATAAAAAGCATAATAACACTCGATATCATTCAGTAGTGCAAGCTAAAAGCTTTTGAGTGACATACTGAGATTAATATTGGTTCATTAGTACACTTTTAGAAGTATGTGCAAATACATTGATATTTCTTTGTCCAAAAAATAAACTTTTGTGATTTACTTTACACAAAAGAATGTGCTTTTAGGTATAACATGTGCCTAATAAAGTATTGATACATTTTTACTTATTAAAGTGAAATCGATTACACTAATCAATGATTAGACACAAAATGTTCTGTAGTATAAATTATTGAAGCATTTATTTAGTGGCATCTTGTTAGGCTCGTATGTATATTAATTATTTAGTGGGCTAAGGGCTTAGTTTTGTTGTATTAGTTTAGTCGTGTTTGTGTATAATTGTATATACAGTGGCACTCTTATATAGAATTAACACAAGTTTTTACCCTAATTAATTCCAATTTCATAGCATGGTATCAGAGCCCCTGAGGAGGGCTGCGTAACTGACTGCTACTGCCGAAAATCGCACCAGCGTGCGCAGTGCCGACAGCCATGACGGATCCAACTTCGCCATACTATCTTAGTTCCGGAGATCAGCCCGGTAACCTCATTACACATGTTATCTTTAAGGGGGATAATTATGTGGCATGGTCACGCACATTCTCCTTGTCGTTGAAGGCACGCCGCAAGGACAGCTTCGTTGATGGAACGATTCCCGAACCTGAAGAGGCGGCGCAGAAACTGAATTGGGAAACCGCCAATTCTATGGTGGTTTCGTGGATTTTGCGAAGCATGGAACCGGTGGCGGCGGCGTCCATACCCTTCCACGAAGAAACCCACTCGTCGTGGGTCTATTTGGAGAAGAGGTATAGCGTCACTAAAGGACCACAACTTCAACAATTGAAAGCGTCAATTACATCATGTAAACAGTCCAAAACGATGAGCGATGAGTCGTTGACAGATACTACACGACCTTGATGAGCTTGTATGACGAGCTGAACAGATTGAAGCCGCTGCACAATTGTACATGCGGCCAATGCACCTGCGGCGTGGCGAAGAAATTCGCCGATGATCGAGATGAAGAGCGGTTTCATCAATTTCTTATCGAAATTGATGACGAAGTGTTTGGAACAGTGCGCTCTAATTTGTTGTCTCAAACACCTTTGTCCGACTTGAACCGTGCTCATCAAGCCTTTCTCCAAGAAGAAAATTCTCGGGCGATTGCACGCGGGAAGATTGCTGCTGCGACGGACGTGCAGGCATTCACACTCCAGGTTGACCGGGCCAGCAAAGGGAGGCCGGATAAATAGGAAAGAAACAGGCCCACGTGTGCTCATTGCAAACAGAAGGGCCATGAAATTACTACTTGTTTCAAGTTGCATGGATATCCCGATTGGTGGGAGGATCGGAATAAAAACAAAGGTGCTGCCGGCGGGTCAACCGACAGTCATGGGGGGGGGGGGGGTACGAACCCATGCAATTTCACCAAATTTGCAAGCAGCAGGTGATGGTGGTACGTCCTCCTCTAGTGGTGGTCCGAATGGTTTAGCTACGTTGAGCAACGAGCAGGCTCAGGCTCTCTTAAACTTAGTTAATGCTGACACTCGCTCTTGTGACCGAATGTCGGGTAAGAATACTTCACGTAATTGGATTATTGACAACAGGGCATCTCATCATGTCACATGTGATTTTAATTGTCTTGTTGATCCCACACGTATTGTGGCATGTCCGGTTGGGCTTCCCGATGGCAGGACGGTTGCCGTTATTCTACAGGGTCATGTTCCTCTATCTCAAAATATTGTATTGGACCGTGTACTATATGTACCGGGCCTCACTTGTCACCTTATATTTGTGTCTCAATTGACTGATCAGTCGTCTTGCCTTGTCACTTTTACTAATTAATTTTGTGCTATACAGGACCTACACTTGAGGAACCTGATTGGAGCCGGTGAAAGACAAGATGGGTTGTTTTATTTCAGGGGGTGCCTGCGCTGCATGCTGTACAACCTTCTTCATCATTGCCGGAGTTTGATTTATGGCATCGTCGGTTGGGTCATCCCTCAGACCGGGTTTTGAAATTATTGCCTAGTAGATAAAGCCTGTGAAGTGTGTCCACAGGCCAAACTTGTTCGTGATTCTTTCCCTTTGAGTACTAATAAAGCTAGTAGAATTCTTGAATTGATTCATTGTGATTTGTGGGGCCCCTATCAGACCCCATCCATAGTCCACTTGTGATGCAATTTATTTCCTTACATTGGTTGATGATTATTTGCGGGCTGTATGGGTTTATTTGCTTTGTGATAAGGAGGTTCATAAATATTTCATGCCTTATCTGGCTATGGTTGAAAAACAGTTCATTGTGTCTGTTAAAATTGTGCGCAGTGATAATGGAACAGAATTTTGGTGCATGATACCTCATTTTGATGCGCACGAGATTCTGTTCCAAACATCATGCGTTCACCCCAGCAAAATGGGAGAGTGGAGCGGAAACATCGTCACATTTTGAATGTTGCCTGGACTTTGATGTTTCAAGCCAATCTTCCCATTCGGTTGTGGGGCAAATGTGTGCTGGCAGCGGTTCATCTCATCAATCGGATACCGTCCGGATTACCGGGAGGAAAAACACCCTATGAAATGCTCACGGGTAAAGCGCCCCATTTTTTACATTTGTACGTATTTGGTTGTCTTTCTTTCACGCATAATGTTAAATCTAAAGGAAATAAATATTCTCCACGAAGTAGACGTAGCACATCCCGATGCTTTGGGTGCTTTATAATAAATATAATAAATAAAAAGAAACACTTCAGACTGTCCAATATATGTCTCTTACGCATTTAAGGAGTGTTTGCAACTGCTTATGCTTAAAAAAAGCACTTTTGGAGATGTAAGGAAAAAGTGATTAGTAGTAAAAGTTGATAGTGTTTGAGAAAAAAGTGATTTTGAAATGTAATAGAAAAGGGAAAAACACTTAAATAAGTGCTTTTTAAAGCCAAAAGCTGAGAAGTGCTTTTTTTAAGCTGTTGCAAACACTTCTTAAGGTAAGTAGGAATTGTATTATGAATCGGAGAAGTTATAATTACACGAGAATTATACAATCACGAGTACATGAATTACGAGGGGCAAAATTAAAAATCCCAATTAAGCTAAAAAATAAAAAGAGGGGCAAAATTGTCTTTTGAAACCCGTTGAATTTTACGACTATCGTGTCCGCAGGTCGCCCGCGCAGGGGGGGTGCGAATTTTTGATTCTGAACTGAAAGCCAGAATTCTTGTGTGCGCGAGAGCTCCCCTATTCTCCTTCACCTTTTAATTCTAAGAGAGGAGTGGTTCATATTTATAGGCTTCAAACTTCTCAAGGAGTTTAGGTGTGGGAAAGTTAAAGAAGCTCACTTTCCACCTTTGCTTAAAAGTGTACACTTTTCCATCTTTCTTTTTCAAGAGCAAATTTGAGCCACTTCAAACTTCAAAGTCCAAAACTCCAACACCAAAAGTGAACACTACAATCAAAGCTTCCAAGAGTCAACATTGAGATTTAAAAAAAATCAAGGTTTTTTTTGGAATTTGATAGGAAACAACCAAACTGCATTTCAAGGTCCAAAATCAAGGTACCAGATAGTAGTTCAGCGTTGCATCTCAAATGATTTGCAGAAATCTTCTTATGTTTGATCAGCACCAAAATGGGGCAGTTTTGTGTTAAAATTTCACGGTTGCTGCTTTTATACTTCGTATTTCCATGCACTTTCTTACAAGTTGCCTGCCCTCTTAGCCCTGATGGTAAGTTGTTTATTCTGTGCTGCATATATGCCATGCCCGTTTTATGTACTTAGGGGCTGATCTCCACCTGAATCACAAAATGTGCAATGAGGAGTATCAAGCTTTAAGCTAGTGATCTCTATTAAAGTTGTTAACGAAGTCAGCTGCCTTGGTGACATTCTCAATCAAGGGTTATAGACTCTTACATCACAATTCGTATGAGGTGTTCTATGATGGAATGAATAAGAGTGTAGTTGTGGTTCCTTAATCTATTTATACTCATGTGGTTTGCGTTCCATGATCGTAATGTAACAATACTATCTTGGACCTTGATAGGAAACAACCAAGCTACATTTCAAGGTCCAAAATCAAGGTACCATCTACCTTGATTTTTTTTAAATCTCAATGTTGACTCTTGGAAGCTTTGATTGTAGTGTTGACCTTTGGTGTTAGAGTTTTGGACTTTGAAGTTTGAAGTGGCTCAA